AGGAGGCAGGTGTCGTCCACCGGTACGTTCTTATCGATGCCAGTCACGATGCCAAGCATAGTTACTGACGTCATTCACAGAGACATCAAGCCTGAGAACCTTCTCTTCTACCCCACACCATTCATCCCCACCCGCAACCCAAAGCCGCGGGGGCCGGACGATGAAGACAAGGCCGACGAGGGCGAGTTCGTCAAGGGCAAGGGCGCCGGTGGTATCGGCCTCATCAAGATTGCCGACTTCGGTCTCAGCAAGGTCATCTGGGATACGCAAACCATGACACCATGTGGTACTGTCGGTTACACCGCCCCTGAGATTGTCAAGGATGAGCGCTACTCCAAGTCCGTCGACATGTGGGCGCTGGGCTGTGTGCTCTACACGCTGCTCTGCGGTTTCCCTCCATTCTACGACGAGTCCATCCAGACTCTCACAGAGAAGGTCGCTCGCGGCCAGTACACATTCCTGTCGCCATGGTGGGATGACATCTCCAAGTCTGCACAGGATCTCGTCTCCCACCTGCTGACCGTCGACCCCGAGAAGCGCTACGACATCAACCAGTTCCTGAACCACCCATGGATACGCGAAGCCGACGAGCCTACCTACTCCGCTTACGACGCACCACCGCTCGCCACACCCGCCGCCAAAAAGGAGCGCCTCCAGCCAGACTTCTCCCACCTTGAGTCACCCGGCGCTCGCCGCATGGACTTCCGTTCGCCAGGTGCCGTCAACCTGCGAGAAGTGTTCGATGTCAGTTACGCTGTACACCGACAAGAAGAGGAGGGCAAGCGGAAGAAGCAGTTCAAGCAGGGCTACCGTGGCGCCAACGCCATGAACTCGCTCAACGCTCTCGACGAAGGTGAGGATGATGACGAGTACGCCGCCGAGTCTGCACCATACGACCCAGCATCGCAACATCCGCCCGCGAAGCTTCCCAAGTCTCAGGGTGCCGATGTTTCAGGCATGGAGCAGAAGATGCGCAACACCACACTATCCGCCGCCGCCCAAGCCCGCCAGCAACAACAAGCACAACCGCGACAGCAAGAACGCGGCTACGGCCAACACTCCCCAGCAGTTGCGGCCGCGGCTAAGCGTCAGGTCAGGAACAAGGGTGCCTTTGAGCTCAACATGGACAGCTCGACATTACTCGGCCGCCGCAACAAGAAGGGCCCCGAGCCCAGCGGCCTGAGGAACAACATCTCCGTCCAATGACAATCCTCGCTTGCGAAGGATTGGTGAGACGGTGATAAGAACTGTGTCATGATGGCGTTTTTGCGTTTCCTTAATCACTCTTTTCCTGCCCTTCCCCCGGTTCTCTCTACGATTTTTGGTTATATCATGTATGCAAGCTTTGTCTGTGTTTCTCCTCTCATGGCATGGCTTTACGGTCTCTTGTGTCTGTCCCCCGGGATGATGGACATGGAGATAGGAGAAGAGAGGGTTTAGGCATAGTTATGAAGCTTTTGGCATGGCGATGGATGGATGATAGTAACGTGCGATGTGGCATGGTTGTCCATGTAGCATGAATGATAATGTTTGAAAACGATGACAATTCCCATGATTCAGTGATAGATTGCGTGATTGAAGTTGTCGTCTTGTTCGACATGGCGACGATGCAGATGTTCAGCAAATCAAAGACGCAATACTCTCAGTATTGGTTTGATTAACAAGTTTACTGCGTGTAAGAGACTGCACTTTGACAAGACAAGAAGTCATAAAGAGTCGGAGAGTCAGGGCAAGGCCACTTTGCTGTATACATCTACATTGCTTTGTTATGTCTTAGGCACGGCATGGTTAGATCTACGTAGCCATCAACTCACTTTATCCAACGAACATAGGAGGTCACTAATCATTGTGTATTGTTACCCCGCGTATGCATAGCCTCGCAATGCGATCTGAATTAGCAGTAATGAGAGCGGTGTTAGTCGTGACTTCCACGATCAGACAATACTCCATACTCGCTGTTCACACGTTCCGGAAAGGAAGGAACCCCCAAGTAGGCTAATTATCACTCCGACGTACACTCAACGATCCTGAGTTCCGAGCGTATAGCCTGTTATTGGCGACAGTGTGAGATGCCACCCTGCAGATAGCGAGAGACAGGCCACGAGGCGATGAAGCAGTGCTAAGAGGTGGCTCGTGATGGCAGTTACACACTTGGCATTATCAGAAACAAGACGGTCTAGACTAATACACAGGACGATGAACGCGAAACCATATACAATCACTTCTTCAACTCCCCCTCAAGCCAGGTTTGCCATGCCGCCGCTTGTTCCCTCCAGCTCAGTACGGGTGCGAGAGGCGTATCACCGTAGACTGCTTGCGCTTGTTCCCTCCAACCACCCCCCGCTGCCTTCGCTTCCCTCAATCTCTCTGCTTGAGCTTCCATCAACTGCTCGCTGTCATCCTCGACCTTCTTCCGCTCGTTCTCGCGATCGGTTTCAGCTTGCTTGTACTTTGCAAGCTCTTTCTCCGCCGCTTGCAGCTTTGCCGCGAGGTCTTCGTTCTTCTTGTTCGCTTGCGCGAGGTCTCGCTGAGAGCGGGTGAGGTTGGTTTTGAGGAAGCGCTCGCGCGCTTCGGCGTTCTCGGCGCGGGTTTGCATTGCGGGGGGTGGGGATGTCATTTTTGAGTGTGATGACGATGATGGTAATGACGATGATGGCGATGACGCTGATGGTATGTAGTCTTGAATGATGGAAGATACCTAGGTATTGGAGAAAGACGTGGTAGCTGTTTGGAAGGAATCTGGAGAGTGAAGTCTTGTTAGGCTCAAGCACTTTACTCAAGACGCTAGAGAATCGAGAGTTCACTCTCACCTTCACCGCGAGTGTTGACGAGGAGACGCAGATGAGGATACCCGCCCAAACCGTGGACGCACCTGCCACACTGACTACGGTCATGAAGAATCCGACTAAAAGAGGAAAGTGCGATTGTAGCAGCACTACAACAACAGCGAATTGCTTGTGACACGACACTGCGCTTTCAGCTACGTGATCGAATATTAACTGAACGTCAAAGCTGACGGCGTTATTGATTATCACGCATGTGATGTCTTGTTTAGGAATCAATACCAAAAGCCTATATAACATCATGGGCGCCCCTAACCTCCTGATTCTCTCGCTCTATATCCACTCATAAGCGTATTCTTACATCACCGACCATCTAACAACTATGATTTCCCTCATCGACCTGCTCAGTCCTCGGTATGCGCCCATCCAACGCGTTCTCCTCGATCATCTCAATCCGGGTGCCATCGCAAGGCTTACCTGTACCTGCAAGGCCTTCGGCTCTTTGTGGCCGACGCTTGTAGCTTCTGACTACAACATCAACTACAAACTCCGGCATTTCTTCAAAGACCCTCGGGAATTTCGGTCCGTCCAAGGAGAATGCGGCGCTCTTCTGGATGATTACAGCCAGGAGTTCACCACTGATGGCCGCTTAAGCTTCATTGCGCGCTCGAAATTCGAGTGTACGCATCTAAGTGTATGGGTTGAACCCACCCGCATGGCGCCGCTAGTTGATTACCTCGATTCTGAAGGCTTTGTGCATTATGATAGACATCCACAGGAACCGGACCTGAATGAGGGCCTTTACTGTACAAAAAAGTGTGGTGTTGACGGGAAATGGAGGCGCGTGGACCTTCGCATCTGGAACTTCAACCAACTAGAAGTACATATGATTACCCGTCAAGCAACCCATGAGGCGCGCTTTATAACATGGAACAAAGCATACACAATATTCCCTTACGAGACCTTCATCAAAGAGAAGTGTCATCTGACGATGTGCGACGACAAATACCTTTGGCAGTACGTAGTCCTTGTACAAAGGATTGGAAGTCCAGAGTCGTGGGAAGGGTTAGGGTCGTGGTACTGGGCCGACGGAATACTGCACGTGGAAACGGATGGACCAAGTTGTATAACCCGCCGGATGGGGGATTCGCGGACCTGGATACTTGATCTCGATACTACAGGCGTCTCAGCGCCTGAGCAGCCTGATACCATCTATGAATCTTCGACTTTCGAGCTCCGACGAAGTTCTGCACCGTACATATTCACACATAGGAGGGAGTCGTTGGGCCCCAAGGAGTATCCGAGATATGATCTGCTATACGAGAACCTCAGCCATGCAGTCCTCAAGTACCGGTACCTGATACCACCAGGTACTGGCCCTTCGATAATGAATAAGAAATGCGATGTTATTCTCAAGAAGTTGGATCGCTTGACGAAACTTGAGCTGGAGAAGATTCCGGAAGCAGAGCGTCCGTCGGCATATTATGAATTTGAGAGAGGAGAATGCAAAGCTATGCACGTGCGAGATAGGTTCACGCGTGAGGGGTTCACGCTCCCAGCCACGTGGACATTCTACGACGAGGAGATTCTGGCGGATTTGGATGATGCATGGGAGAGTCGCGACGAGGTTTGGGTCAAGGATGAAGGTCAGAAGACAGCAGAATGCGACCATGAAGCGGAGGGAGTGGTCGCGAGCGACGAGAACAACGTCGGTAGTTAGGCGATGCGGCTACAAGCTATGAGTTAGCATATCGAGATTCAGGATCTATTATTGCGCGCGATGCTTTGAAGTATCGGCGGTGTTCACAATTAGTCTGCGTAGTTCCTTCCATCAAATGCAGTGTACCATGTCAGCCTCGCCATAGTCAAACTCTAAACCCAGCGTACCCATGTATCGTGTAGACGCCTTCCAACTTCAACCGGTAGACCGCGGGGACCCGGTTTTGCGACGACACACAGCTGCTATACGTATGTTGGATGAAAACAGTTTCAGCGAATAGGTGAGACTTGGTAAATGAACAGTTCTTTCCTGATACGAGCTTGACGTCTTACTGGTCTGTGCGAATCGATAATAATAGCCCGTCGAAACGGCGGACACGCGTCGGAGAAAGAACTATGATGTAGTTGGTTTTTTGCAACACGTCTGTTTGAGACATTGTCACTATATAACTCCGCCACGGCGCGTAGTCAATTGTGCAGTCAATCGTCGCCGCCACCATGGACCCTCTTCTCGCCGCCGCCGAAGCCGCCGCCGCCGCCGACACAACGTCAACCCCGCCGAGCTCCCCGCCCTCCGCCGAGACGCCCCCAGAGAGCCGCCTCTGGGGCATCAGCGATATCCACCTCTCCTTCAAGGGCAATCGCGACGCTCTCGAGAAGCTCCTGCCGCACCCGCACGATGACCTCATACTGTGTGGAGACGTTGGCGAGTCGGCGGAGCATTGTCGGCTCGCCTTCACCAAGGTCAAGGAATGCTTCCGGCAAGTGTTCTGGGTGCCAGGCAATCACGAGCTGTACACGCTGCCCTCGGAGAAAGAGCATGGCGCGAGGGGCGAGGCGAAATACATGGAGTGCGTTGCGATTGCGCGCGAATACGGCATAATCACACCGGAAGATCCATACACGCTGTGGGAGGGCGAGGGAGGTCCATGTCTCATTGCGCCCATCTTCACGCTGTACGACTACAGCTTCCGGCCTAGCCATGTCAAGCTAGAGGATGCGCTCGAGTGGGCGCGAGAGAAAGACATAGAAGCGACCGACGAGCACCTCCTGCATCCCGACCCCTACTCGTCGCGTATCGAATGGTGCAATGCGCTTCTCGAGAAGACGGAGAAGAAGCTCGCCGCCGCTGTCGCAGCACACCCAGATATCCCCTTGATCATAGTAGGCCACTGGCCGCTGCGCGAAGACCTCGTGAAGCTGTTCCGAGTCGAGCGCTTTTCCCTCTGGTGCGGCACAAAGAAGACCGAAGACTGGCACAACAAGTACAACGCAAAGGTCGTCGTCTCTGGCCATTTACACATCAGGCGAACAGACTGGATAGACAACACGCGCTTTGAAGAGGTCAGTCTGGGCTACCCACGGCAATGGCATGATTGTCAAGAGCGCGGCCTCGACATCAACGACCTGCTGCGCGAGCTAATGCCAGGCCCGGAGACACCACCAAAAGACCGGCGCAACACTGTCTGGAGGCAGTTCGGATGATTGACTGCATTGCGAGATACAATCTAATCTTCGATACCCGAGATCATGCCTTTTGTCCCCGTGACTGCAGGTACGTCCAATCACCTCATACCAATTCCTCACGTTCGGCAGCCCACCAGCATGAATCCACGAATCTAATGCATTTCTCGTTCTGTTTCTCCAGACTGCAGCATGTCACATTCACCTCCCCTGCACCTGCCTGATGCGGACTCGGCCTAGTCTCGGCCAAGCACCAATGGCTCGGACGCGATCAGCCACGCGCTTTCTCCTTATTCGCCGGCATGCAACCGTCGTGGTTCCCAATCTAGTCGATCGACATCCTGCGTTGCCTTTCACGCATGTTTGCTCCGGGCGTAGAATATGCAACGTCTGAATCGTCCCGTGCCGGACGCCGATGCGCTGCAGGTACCCCAGCGACAACGTCGGAAACGTTGTTATGCGTCCAAGGGAGCTGGATAAACGGCCAATTGGTGGTGGTATATCAGGGCATGTGCGCTGTTTGTGTGTTTCCCACGGTTCTGCTCGTATCGCGCTTTTGCTAGTCTGTATCGTGAACTTCCCCATTGGGATTGAGAGAGACTTGAGGACTCAGTGAGCACGATATCGGGAAGAGCCGTACGACTTGAACAACGCCGAAGCCATCGTATAAATCACCAGCTGCCACCATCTTTTGAAGACCAAGCCAGTCTCCCGGCTCAAAGACATTGTCACTCGCTTGACACACATAGCCGTTCATTCCTACATCCCTTCGCTTTCAGCAAAAGTCAAGATGTTCAACATTGCCATTCAGCTCCTTGCAGCCGCGAGCGTCGTCCTCGCCTCCCCCGTCAACCTCCAAAGCCGTGCTGTCATCGCCCATGATGCCGTTGTTGGCTTCCCCCAGACCGTTCCTTCAGGCATCGTAGGACAGCTCATGCTCAAGTACAAACCCTACCTCAAAGTCGAAAACGGCTGCGTCCCCTTCCCCGCTGTCAACGCCGCTGGTGACACAGGGTAAGTCACTCCTAATCTAGAAAGTGAGTCCTTTTAACACCCTCCAGCGGCGGCCTCCAACCCACCGGCGCCTCAAACAGCGGGTGCAGTTCCTCGCCCGGCCAAGTCTACGCCCGCGCCACCGCCCACAACGGCGCCTACGCCATCATGTACTCCTGGTACATGCCCAAAGACAGTCCCGGCCCCGGTCTCGGCCACCGCCACGACTGGGAAAACATCGTCGTCTGGCTGTCCGCCCAGTCCACCACCGCCACCATCCGCGGCGTCGCCATCTCTGCTCACGGCGACTACGACAAGGTTACCAACCCCAGTCTCACTGGTACTAGGCCAAGGATTGGATATAGGTCCATTTTCCCGGTTAACCACCAGTTGATTGAGACTACGACTCAAGGTGGAGAGCAGCCGCTGATTGCGTGGGACAGCATGACGGCTGCGGCGAGGAGTGCGATTGAGAACACGGATTTCGGTAGTGCGACGCCGTCTTTCCGTGACAGCAACTTTGGAAACTACCTCGATGAGGCTTTCATTTGAGGGGTGGTGTAGATAGCAGTACCTAACATACAATCAGATCATGTTTGCTCGTTTCAAACCACCACCTTCCTTGTTCACCAATCTAGTGCTTGATTATAAAACTATCATTTATCTCCTCAACCGTCTGCCACTAGCCCCCACCTCATACAAGAGAAAAGCTGGACAGGTCTAGCGCCTACATCGACGCTAGGTCACCTATCTAGTAGGTTTACATGTTGATGTAGGCTGCAGGCCTGTTCGGCTTTTCTCGATTGACGTGCCCCCTTCAACGTTGCAGCTTCTCCGTATCGGTTCACCTTCCAGAAACCAAGCGAGCTTATCTTCAACCAAGTCGAAACAATTGCCGAAGTCGAGATTACATCAAGAAGTGTCTTCATTCGTATAAACAGTCTCTATCGACAGCTACTAGAAGAGAAGTCACGCCGAGCCCCACAGCATAGAACATGGAGGGTATACGGGCCGAACACAAGCCCCATCCGTATCAGCAAGCCACACGCATGAACCACCACCTCACGGTTCAAGCCGAGTACCCAGGAGGGGGACCCGCCGGCGCCGTGTACTCCGGCGGCGGAGCCTCACCAGCAGGCGGTGCGAATCCTCCCGTACCCACATTCTGCTGCTGTCCGCCCAGCACCCTCCTAAACGCCTCTTCACGCGCCTGCTGCAGTTGCAACCGCGCATGCTGTAGCTTCGCCTTTGCTTGATCAACCTCGCCTTGCAGCCCCTTCTCCTGCGCCTCACGCTGTCTGATAATCTCCCCGCACTTGTTCCCCGCACGGTCAACCTGCGCAATAGACTGCTTGACCTGATCGTGCATTTGCATATCGGAGAAGATATTGTCAAACACGACGTCGCTCCATATGCTACCCATGGCGATGTTGAGTTGACCCAGCCCCGGTATCTCAGGCGCGACCTGCTTGACCTGTTGCTGTAGCATGCGCACTTGTTGGATGGAACTCTCGGCGCGCTCGAGGTAGTTCCGCTTCTGCATGCTGGCCATTGTGCCGCCGCCGAACATGTCGTATTGCGACATTCCGTATGCGCCGTCGAGGTGTTCGCGGGCGGCAGACAGCTTGACAGACGTCTGCCCGAGGAGGAAGAGGATGTGGCGCTCGCGCTCGAGGCGCTGGGTTAGGTCTTGTACGTGTGCGTGCGCGGCGTTGCAGGCATCTTCTTTGCGATCTTCGTCGGGAAATTCGGGCGTGTGGCCTGCGAAGATGGAGTTGTAGAGCGCGTCGAGGTCGGCTTGGAGCGTGGTGTGGCGTTGGGCTTGCGACGCGATTTCGTTCTTGCGCGTTTCGGCTTCGGCGCGGAGTTGTTTCGCGTAGGCGAGCTCGTCTTCTGCGCTCTTTTGCTCTTGGATTGCGTCGAAGTACTCTTTTTCTTCTTTGGCGGCTTTCTCGGCGAACTTCTCCTTCTTTCCGCTGGCCTTGTGGGCAAAGCGGCGGAAGTGCGAGTCGCGGTACTTTTCGTGGTCTTTTAGCTCGCTGGCTGTTTTCTGTTTCAGGTCGTTGACGCGCTTCCTGATGTTGTTGATTTGCGCGTCGAGATCAGCGATGTAGGCGTTCTGCTGCTTGAGCTGTGAGGGCGCCGAATCTGTGTCCTCGAGGCCACGAAGGAGCTCCTCATTCCTCTGCGCTGCCTGCTGGATCTTGTTGTGGATGGACATGATGAAATGATATCTGGGATACAAGGTGTGATGCGAATGCGATCGGAGGTAGCCTGATGCTATATATCTAGGAAGCAGCGAAGCACAGCCTACCTTATCGACTCCTTACGGCAAGAGATCATGGTGGTACTGCTTGGCAGTCGGCCTGACGGCACGAATATATGGCCTTGTCTTAGGTTATTGGGCGCCTGATTATGAACCAAACTGCTGTCTTTAACGTCGGGTGGCTGGTGGTGTTGAAGCGGGGCAGATTCCAGACGTCATAGGGGCAAGGCTGAGCTACCATCCAATGCGGTCTAGCTCCATGTGGCGCAGACGGCTGAGCCTCAATGCACTAAGGTGGCGTGGCAACGGCTATCTCGCATTTTGGATCTCGTGCTGGAATCCGGGGTAACGACGATACAGTTGCAAACAGCAGCGTCTTCGTACAAGAGATGGTGAGGGGTATCCTCAGGTGGAGACGGGCGGATGGCAAGAATAGCCGGCTTTCCTCCAGACGGAAGGAGGTGCCTAAGGACACCGCACCGTTGCTCAAAGCCCCACCTCGGACGCCGTGGCACAACTTCGGGTGTTTGGTGTAGCATCGGATAACCTCAAAAGCTCAACAGCGTCAAAAGAAAGCTTCCTCTTGATTTTTTGCATATCAGTTGATTCTCAGCACGCCAACAACCCGGCTCCAACATGGCTACCGAAAAACTACAGACATACTCGCAGAAGCCCCGCGTTTTTATCTTGTCGGACATCTCGAATGAGCCGGATGATGCCGAGTCGCTATGTCGATACCTGCTTTACTCCAATGAGTTTGAGACGGAGGGTCTTGTAGCTTGCACAAGCACTTGGATGAAGAACAAAGTGCACCCAGAAGACATGGGGAAGATTATCAACGCATATGCCGATGCTGTCGACAACTTGAACAAGCATGTGCACCCGAATTGGCAGTATCCAACGGCACAACATTTGCGTGGGTTGATTCGCAAGGGCGCCGAGGTAAGCTCCATTCGCTAGACACAGCACGTCACGTCGGGAGCGCTGATAGTTTCCAGTCTTACGGCATGTCGGCTGTTGGCACAGACACTCCATTGTCTCCAGGCGGACAGCTGCTATACGATCGAATTGTCGCACCCTCCACCCAACCATTATGGATTCTTTGCTGGGGTGGAACAAACACGCTCGCCTCAGCATTGCTCAAAGTAGACGACGACTTCGAACCTGAAGACTCCAAGCGCTTATTGTCACGTCTCCGCGTTTATGCCATCTCCGATCAAGATGACACAGGTGCATGGATCCGCAACAACTTCCCTGACGTATTCTACATTGCTTCCATTCACGGCTGGAATCAGTACGGTTTGGCAGCATGGACCGGCATTTCCGGCGACAAGTACTACGGCTTTGATGAAGGTGGGCCAGATTTCACCAAGATGGAGAAGAGCTGGATCAAGGAGAACATCCAAATCGGGCCACTCGGAAAGGCGTACCCTGACTATCTCTACATCCCGGAAGGAGATACCCCAACATTCCTCTACCTCATCCAGAACGGTCTTGGTGTACCTGACTGCCCCAACTATGGATCTTGGGGTGGTCGATACGGGCGGACTGACATCAGCACCGAGGGTCTGAACAGCAACCACTACAGTGATGTCGTGGACAGAGTCAAAGTTGGCGACAGGACGTATACATCCAACCACGCGACCATCTGGCGCTGGCGCGACGCTTTCCAGAACGACTTTGCCGCGCGCATCAAGTGGAGCATGGAGCCTGATTTCGCAAAAGCAAACCACCACCCCGTCATCAACATCAGCGGCTTCAA